TTTTTTTTTTTTGTTTGTTGTTTAACATCCCTCTCAAGAATTTTTCATCCATATGGAGATGCCACCACTTGCTGGTGGAGAGCTGCAAAATTTGACCTATACTTTGCACTCAGGGCCTTGAGCAGTAAGGGATCTTTTTTGTGCCCACATCAACTGCTAGGCGGGACCTCAGTTTATATGGTCTAATCTGAAGGACTGGTCCCCACAACCCCAGTGGATTTGAACCTGAGACTTAAGGATTAAATCCTTACTCGCGACTCTAGATTACAAACTCTCTCCTTTGCGCCACATGGGGGACTCCACAAGATTAAGTGTTTTGAGCAGTCCTATTCTCATGTAATTATAAACTCTATGTTGAACAAACCTGCAAAGATGATGTATGTACATGTAAATGTTTCAGGGTACCAATCCTTGATTTGACTTAGATTTTCTGGATTAATGACCAGTTTTTTAGAGAAGGTTCATTCAAAGTAACAATATACTCTTTGGTGATCAGTAAACATAGATGATGTATCCTGCTTCTGATGCTGGATGTAACATACATTTTCAGGGTTATTGAGCAGTTAAATCTAACCCAGACCAACTTGCATAGATTTTGGATCCAGGTGATATACATTACCAGAGTGTTTGTTGAGTGAGACTTTGCCTTACTAGTAGATAACATTTATAGAAGTGAACTTTGTATTCTTTGATTAGGTATGTTTTTTCTTTGCTCAGGATATATATACCATCAGTGCCAACTACCATACATTTTATATAATAGATGTAGCTGTTGTTCAACTGAATATGGTAAAACTGTGGATGAAAATAATTTGATTTTTGTACCTTTGAATGTATTGAATTCATTTGTAAAAGCTGTTATGATACAATGTTTGATATTTTATAAAAGTTTTTAGCATATGCAATCAATAAATGTATCAACATTTTTATTTTATTATACTTTTTACCCTGCAAACTTCTTAAAAACAGAATAGTAATGATCCATTTAGCTGATATTAGGTTAGTGTCACATTGTACTGGTATATCATGTATACTGAACTGTAAATAAGAAACATCTAAATAGGTAAAATCACAGCATGAATCATTGGATTATGTAAGAAGTGCACTATCTTGTGCTTTGGTATGGTATTAATAATAAATGTTAAACTATCATTTTTTTTTCAAATTAACAAAGGATATGCTTGAGTGACTGTATTTTGACTAGCAGTAAAAATAAAATGATTTTTAAGCATTTGAATTATTTTGATTCATGGTCTCTGCAAGTTTAATGATAGCAAATATGTATATTGAACATGGCATCCACATATTGCTATACTGGATGGGGCATAACTTTTACTGAATCTTAATCACAACCTTGAAATTTTATGTAGTACATGTACTCTTGGTTTCAACTGGTCAAATGTATTCTTAAATCAGAAAGAATTTAAACAAATATAGGCATAGGTCAGAACTTCATCAATTAGTTGGAAAGCGAATGCACTCAGTGACTATATGGTTTAAAAGAAGCTTGGTATAAATAGCAGGAAAAACTACTTGAAGTCCACTGTGAACTTTGTGTCCTCAACAAAACAATATGGAGTATACTAGAATAATCTATGTCTGCATTCACTTTTAGGTTAAACTGTTTTGGGCATTGAGAGTTTGTTTGTTGTTTAACGTCCCTCTGGAGAATTTTTCACTCATATGGAGATGCCAACACTTGCTGATGGAGAGCTGCAAATGAGCTATGCTCGGCACTCAGGGCCAATGGGCAGTGAGGGATCTTTTTCATGCCAGCATCTACTGCGACACTGGACCTCTGTTTGTACGAAGGACCGGTCTCTACGTCCCAAAGTGGGATTCAAACATGTGAGAAAAGGATCAACTAACTCCACGACTCTAGAGCATTGGCTCTTTCCACTGCACCACGTGGGCGACAGCATTGAGAGTTAAATGTGGATATCAGAACAAGCTACTCTGGGCTTATACTCTTTATATATTGATTGATTGTATGTTGTTTAACATTCCTCTCAAGATTTTTTCACTCCAATGGAGACACCACCACATGCCGGTGGAGATCTGCAAATTTGGTCCTATATCGGCACTTACGGCCATTGAGCATCGAGGGATTTTTTTCGTGCCAGCACCTACTGCGACACAGGACCTCGATTTATACAGTCTCATCTGAAGGACCGGTCTCCCCATCCCACAGTGGGATTTGAACCTGCGACGTAAGGATCAACTCCTTACTTCGCTACTCTAGAGCAGACGCTCTAACCACTGCGCCACTGAGGCAACTACTCTCTATTTAAGTCACTTGTGCAATGATAAACTTTAGTTTAATTCAACGTTTTGTACTGATCATGTTGAGTCACATTAGCACAAATATCTTTCTGCTGATCTTGACTAATGACCATCCGCAACTATTCTGGTTGGAAACAATATGTTAATTAATGCATAATAAGTGAAATTACTATGAAAGAAAAATGGTCTACTTAAACCACAAGTTATATTTATAAAAAATATACACTGGTCTCCTTAAGTCATATGAGAGAAACATAAAATATTAAGGAGACCATTTTTTTCATATATTTTTAGGAGGCATTTATTATGAAAAAATAAAGCAAGAGTCGACTAAATGGTGTTCTATAGATCTTTGATCTGGTATTTCTTTTTAGAAAAAAGCAAATTTAAAAAATTTGTATATTGTCTCCTTAAGCCATATATAATGGTCTGGTCTCCCTAGTCCTTAAATCAGAGTTATATATATATATATATGTGTGTGTGTGTGTGTGTGTGTATAATAATAATAATAATAATAATAAAAGCACTAAAAACCAACAACACTGTATATCCTAAGTGTCGGATCTACTAAGAAGATACAAGGTCACGGATGGAAATTTATATAAAGCACTTAAAATGACCAACGACACGAACAATAAAAATTGTCAAATTTTCGGGACGATCTGTCCCTTCCTCAGGACAAAGAAAAAAGTTAAGAAGTCATAAAAACAAAGGAAACAGAGAGACAAAAACAACTAGCACTACTACTAAACTACCAAACACTAAATATTTACAGTGTTACATGTTTAATTTGAAGTTTATAAACTGTTGTGGAGAAAGAAATCCGGAGCGCTATGAACTGCGTCCGGTCTATCGGGTGTACTCTGGTGAAGTGTGATTTACATAATTGAACGAATTAATTATCGCTAATTATGTAGTAAATCGTACACTGTCTTATTCTCTCAAAATAGCGTAACTATACATGATAAAAAGAATTTAAAAAAAATAATATGGAAGGGCAATTTTAAAATATGAATTTGGATAATTTATTTGGAAATCGGATAAAAGAAGTAAACAAAAAAGTAAGCTATAAATATTTGCGTAGGTTGTTCCAGAATTGCTAATGCGAATTATAACGGAAAAGTTTACACTATACAGAGAGAATGAACTTGTTTGTTACAATCCGGGATTGGGTCTAGTTCACGTTCATCCTGGTGAAGTCATTTAGTTTGTTAATACCATTAGGGCGGGAACTTTAAAACTTGCTCTGACAGAAGATGTCTTCTCTGTAAGCACAGCTCTGACACATACAGCTTTAACAGCCCCGTTACAGGCCGCAGCTACAAAATACTAGGGAATTTTTCCTGTCAAACAGACAACTGCATTTATCTCATCAGTTGCAAAGTTTGCTCCAAACAGTATGTTGGTGAAACAGGATATCTCCGCAGGAGAGTCAATAATCACCATTCTACCATTAGAACCAAAAACTCAATGAACCCGTTGGGTTCATCAGAATTCATGGGCCTACATGTCAATGCATAACAGAGATTTGAAGACATTTAATCTTTCATGCTCTTTAGAACTGAGAGGAAACCACTAAATATTTCCATTTTTTCTCCATGCATTTTCTCAATTTTTTTTCATGTTTTCTTTTTTTTTCTATTTTGATTTTCAACATAATCTTCCAAAAATGGATTACTTGAGAAGAATTAGATCTGGAAGAAGAATTTTTTTCTTTTCTTTTTGGGCAGGGGATCAGTGATACCTGGCTCACCAGAGCCTGAGCTTGTGCACGGCTCATCTTGAGTGAAACTTCCACTATCCGAGCTGGAGGATAAAGATGCAACCACAAACTTGGGATTGATGTCATGTCTGTCACTAAAGATATCCTGAAATTCTTTCATTCCCTGACTTAGCCTGATCAGCTTGATGGCGCTTGAAGGCACTGAGTTGTGTTTTCTACCGTCCTTCAACTTGGGCAACGGAAAAATCAGTTTTAAAATATTTGTTCAATTCTTCTGTAATTTCTGACCACAGAGCTTTTTTCTTGTGTGTGGGCGATAAACACTTTGTTTTCCTTTCCTTGTAGCCTTAAATTATGAAAACTGTGTGTTCATATGTAAAAACGCCATTGAAAACTACTGCAGTAGGTGATTGCTTCGGTGAATTCTCAGGGGTCTGTGGAACAGTAGGAATGTCTACAAAAATGACAAGAGAAAAATCAATTAAAAGCAAAAATCATACCTAAGGCAAACTTGTTTGGTTGCCCTCTCCCAACCGATTGGCTCAAAATGGCCAGATTCAAAACTTTTTTCAATCTCCATGAATTACGATATTTTTTTTTTCTCGTTTTATTCCTGAAATTTCCCATTTGTCAACATCTATGTTGAAATTTTCTGAGAAAAAAGATTTTCCCACCTACCGACCCAATATTTTTACTCTGTGCCGGAAGAGGGCAAGCAAACATTATTATAAATATGGTCTAATACATACATTTATCATAAAAATATTACGGCTTAAAAAATGTAAGGCTTATATAATACTGATCTTGAAAGTAAACTAGTTGAATAAACATGTAATAAGATGTCCAAATGATATTTGGAAAGCAAAGTCAGGAGCCCAGTTAACAGGTCATGGAATTCAAATGATGTTAGGATAGTATGTCAATTTAAGAAGGGGAATTAATGACTGAAAAAAATACATGGCAATTCTTCATTTTCAGCTTCACTTCCAGTATCTTTCTCCATGGCTGCTTGTATGATGAGCTGTTTAGCCAACTGTTTTAAAGCAGGATCTGTTTTAAAAATATATATTCTATATAACAAATGAATGCAAACTTAATAAATAAAGAAATAAATTTAATTGGTAGAAACAAATCCAAGTATGATAATTGTTCATTAACGTTACATATATATAATAGGAATCGTAATAAACATGACGTGTAATTTTTAAAAATGTGTTCACTTTAATTGTAAAAAAGAATATTAAAAAATAAAACCTGATGAAGTAAAGTGTCCATACAACTCTGGCGATACTTGTACAGAAACAAGTTTTCCGTTGCCCAAAGTAACATTAATATTGGTGGATCTATAATTTAAAAAAAAAAACATCAAATCAACTGAACATGTTTTTAACGTAGCAATTAAAAAAGAAATATCTTTTTAAACGAAACATGCATTCGCTGTCCTTTTATCTCATGCCATGGCATAAGTTGAAACCCTGTAACTCACTGCTACCTTACTTTATGAATTAATTATCGTTTTGACATTACGAAGAATACATATTTTATACATATAGTTGATTTTATTCAATTAACATCCGATTATAATATCAGTTTTAAAAAATCTTTCAATAATTTTACTAACCTGTCATCTTCCGCCATCTTGTTTTCCAGTGTCTTCTGCCCGCTGGGTGGAAGAGGCAGAAGATCTACTGGAAGTAATTTTTGACAAACGAACACGTTTTCTTAATGCGGGGGACTCTTCTTCGGTATCTAGAAGAGCAAATCGAACCGACCTATGGTTTGTACATAACAGTTTTTATGATGGGTTCATTGACAATTTCTGATTTCTCTCGTTCTTTTTTTCTCGGTTTACTTTTGGCGTTGCTACGATATCTTCTTAAATGGAGAAAAAAATATATATGCCTATGCTTACTTTACCTACTGTATGATCTTTGTCAAAGAAAAAAATGTTTCTCAGATTATCAAAAATTTTGTTGACATTTTTAAAAATTTATTTAAATAAATGCAGGAACTGTCCTTTGTAGTTTTTTCTTTAGTTTCTTTAAAAAAAAAAACAACAAACTTTTATTTCGATAACAAGCTCAAAATTACCATAGATGTCAAAACATTAATATATTAACAAAATACTCTTAAATCATTGTGCTGAATATCAAAATCTGCATTTGAAAATCAGGGAGTAAATACACTTTAGGCTAAAAAATTATCTGGAGCTCTGCGGAGTGTGACTATGCGACCAAAAGGGGGAGGGATTTGAAGAGACATGCAGAATCCCACCATAAGACAGAGAGTCTCCAAAAAGAGAGGAAAGGAAGTGAGCAAGTGGACGACCTAGGGAAAGATCCTGGATATCTGTATGAGTTGATTGGATTGAAAAATCCATCCAAGAAGCCAGCGGCAGCTAGAGAAAAGAAAAAGAGTGCTGACGATTCACCCATATTTTCACCTCCACAAAAGATCTGTCGTGCCACGCAGAGGGACGCACCCAGCAAGACAAAGACACAGCTAACAAGAAATCAACAGAAGATGAGACAGTCAATAAAAAAGTCATTACTTCCGCAGAGGCTGAGAGATCTAGTGGACAAGCTGTGTCCACAGGAGTACAAATAGAGACATCAGATAGATGTGAGTGCAGGATTCAAACTTTCCCAGTTAAGAAACGGGTTCACTACAGTGTCACCAGGACGTTGACTTACAAAGACAATAATAGAAAGATAAAAGAGGTAGAAGTCGATCAATGGAACTCAGAGAGTGACTAAATGAAATCATTGGAAAGATGCATGAGTTGTGGTGTACAAAGATCGTAAAGAAATTTTTTTTGAATTGTATTTAACCAGAAGTTTTTGAATGCTGTTGTATTTTTTTATTCGAGGACGCATAAAGCTGGGGTGGGAGGGATGAAGCGGAAAGCTGAATTTTCAATATTATCTTTAATGCGGATTTATCGCCCTTGTTTTTTAAATTACTTATTACTATAGTCAATATTACATTAATGTTGAATTCTAATTAAAGTGTATATGTTAAATTATAATTTCTAACCTGCTTTGACAAAGATTTACTAGTTTTAGGGTACAATTAGTATTTTTCTTAGTTTGTAAGTAAAAATCGCTATGTATTATATATGGTTCCGGGAATAAATACGGTTTTTCCTGACAATTAATGGGGGAAGGTTCTAGAGGTTAAACTTGACAAACCAGATTTTAGGTACGTATAAGTAGGTGGATTTCCCTGCTCATATTATACAATGATAAGTAGTTAAGTGTGTGGTCATCCTTATACTTGCCAGAGTGTGTGGTCAACCGTACTCTAGATTTTTCATCTATTAGCAACTTGCGGACATCCCTGCCTGTATCTTGTGGTAGAGCACTGGTGTGCGGACATCCCTACCAGTGTCTGTAGTCTAGAACCGTTTCATTAGTGACAGGTGTGAAATTCCTTATTGTCACTGCGCAAGGACAGGTGCATGTGCGATCATCTCTGCCTGTTCCTTGTGATAGTGCGCTGGTGTTGGACTTCCTTGCCAGTGTAACTTGTTCGCTACCAGTAACAAAAGGCCCAAGGGCCTTAACGGTCACCTGAGTATAAAACAACTATCCGTAGAGGATACATAGAGTATAAATTAAACTGATAGAAGCAGCTTTGTTGCCTAAATGCAAGAGAAATAGGATGATCAGGATCATCGAAATAATTAGTCTAGTATTCAGTAGCAACTCAAAAATTAAGTTCTAATCTGTTCCCATTTAGATTTTTTTCCTATAAGTTTTATTTTCTATTATGGCCCCACCCTACCCCCCGGAGTGATGATTTGAACAATGTTGAATCTACACTACTGTAAATCACTTTATTCGCAAGAACTTTATTTTCGCCTAATTACGCGAGATAGTGTGCTCGAGAAAATTTCATTCTCGCGTATATTAGTATTCCTAAAGATTACATAGAACAGTAAACACGATTCCTGAATATTCTGTCTCGCTTATAAAGAGCCAATATCTATCTAAGATAGAAATATAAGAAAATAAGGTGTCACGAAAATTTAGTGATCTACAGTTCCTGAAGATGCTTCTGTACTAAAATGACTAATCATAGCTTTGTTGTTCTTGAGAAGAAGATTTTAAAATGATCTCTCCTATATATTCCTAACGAAAACTTTGATCACCTGTTGTGTCCCTTTCCTACCCCAGGGGGTCATGATTTGAACAAATTTGAATCAACATTACCCAAGGATGCTTCCATATAAATAAGACAAATCATGGCTTTGCTATTCTTGAGAGGAAGATTGTCAAAGATTTTTCCTATGTATTCATAAGTAAAACTGAGCATTGTACAAATTTGCAGCATCTGAGGGCTATCCGTTTCTATCACGAGTACGAGCCCGAGGGGGTTCACAGATAGTGACCTCCCTTAGCTTGCACGTTACATTTTTACTAACTTTAATAGAATACTTTCGATGTTTGACATTTTAAAGAATCTTCTGAAAGATTGTTGCTTACACTGGTGTGATATTCTTCTTTGCTTACCAAAAGAAGCTGATATATAAACACTTTTTCATGACAAAGGGAAATAACTCTTGTAAATGGGAAATTTCTATTCATCTGAGAAATACCAGTTCTGTTCACACAAAGAAAACCCAGTTTGCTGTCACATTGACAGTTTTCCACTTGTTCTCAGATGACCTCCAAAATGCTAATTGTGACGCCATGAACTTGTTTATTTTCCCATATTTTCTTCAAAAGTTGCAAAAAAAAAAGTTTTCAGTGGCACTTTCTTGCAGATAATATAGAGCACATGCACCGCCCACACAAAGAATGAGTGGACTTAACGCCGCATTTTGGATCTTTTTGAGCTGTAATTGAAGTGAACAAAAGATATTTTACAAGCATTGTCATGATCGATGTATGCATGATTGTAATAGGCTGAAAACCTTTACAAAAGCAATGCCTTTGTGTCGCAAATCAACTGAATTAACTATATATACAATGATGCCATCCGGAATTTGACATCTACCCGGAATGGTTTTTAGGTCACCTAATCAAGATTTACAGGAGGCGCGTCACATGCACAGCTTATTCTCTCTCTCTCAATATTTATTTAATATTTCTTATAAAACTACAATGTTCAACTAATTTTACACAATGAGTTACTCGGTTGATTATTATGCATAATATCTTATTATTTATAATAGTAATAATATTAATAATAATAATCACATATTCGACCCGAAAAAAAGTCAATTACGGCTCTGCAAACTGCAGATAATTTGCTAAGATCTTAAGATATACTGACAAAGATTTCTGTTGATCTCAAACATTTGTTGTATTCCGAAATTATTTTTTTTTACATTAAGTTTTGAAGGTAAAGCATCTGTAGACCATTCGTCTAATTCTTCCGATTTCTTTAATAACTTGAAAAGAATTGAAGAATTATTTTGATAATACGATAACTGCAGTAACACAATTGAATGGCACAATATAGTTGTATATGTGTATAATATTTCATAAATGTTAAGGTATTCAATGTAAAATGAAGGGATTTTGAACAATTTTGAATGATTTTAAACTAGTTAAAAATGCAGTGCTAGATAACAATAAAAGTGAAATGAACCAAATTCACAAGACTGATAAACATGTAAGAAGCCGGTCATTTTGCTCCTTAAAAGTTTTTGAAGAGTTATCTGCCCCTAATGAAAAAGAGAAAATTTTTAATTTGTCGAAATATCTGCGGTAAATGTTTCATTTTATTTCATAGTTAAATAAAGAGAGAGTTTATGCATATTTTCACCAAGAGATCTGATTCAAATTCAAATTACTATTTACAATATCTTATAAACACATGCGCTACCCATATATAGACTTCAATTCTAGGTGCAATTGATTGGACAATAATCAAAATTTGGCAAATTCCTTTGGTGGAGCATTTTTATTTAATAACACGTTCATATTGCTACCAGTATCAAAAACCATTGACCATTCATTAATTAGGTGCAAAATATGGTCGTTATACATTGAATACCTTAAATCCTGCATGTTAAAGTTGCAAGTCCTAAAACTATAATTTTGTTATTTGTGTAGTTTTTTGGGGTGGGGGGGTGGGGGGTAATTTATTTTATATAATCATGAGATACATGAAAAATGTAAGAAACAGAAATGGTCAACTAGAAAAAAAAATATACTTTAACATTTAACCTGTGTTTTTATATTTGGTTGTTTAGAAATTCTATTCATAATTAATAATTACAATCTTTCTTATTCATCTGTAGCAAATAACCTGATTGCAATTAATATATCAGCATCAAAAACAAAATTACTTTTATAAATACTCTACATGTAGAGTTTCTTTTATTGGCTACAAGCAGCTTTTTTTCCCTTTACATTGAAGCTTTTTTTCTTTCTTTAGACTTTTTTTTTTAATTTTCTGTTAATTCTTTAGGGTTGGGGTATTGTTTGGAATGGATTGTAAATAGTTGTAAACGGTTGAAATTCAATTTTGAATTTCTTGGCTCACATTTAATTGATACCAGTATTCTTCACATTTATGGATGACTTCGCGGGCTCGAATCCGACTGCGGGACGTGGAGACCTGTCCTTCGGATAAGACCATTTAAACCGAGGTTCCGTGTCGCATGTGTGGAAAATAAAGATCCCTAGTGCCGAGTATAGGTATAATTTTGCAGCCCTCTACCGGCAAGTGGTGGCGTCTCCATCTGAGTGAAAAA